AACCAACTTTCAAAAATTTACTACGGAAAAGCAGCTGTTTCGGAAAAAGCAGCCTCCAAAAATAGCCCCTTTGATTGGGCTTTTGGTTTTTGGGGCCAAAAGCCAAAGTTAAATGCCCAATCAAACGGACCCTCAGATTGGTAAAACAAGCCATGGTTATCTTATAAGGCATGACATTGAGGATGAGGGCTTGGAGAGCTATCTGATTAACATGTATGCCAAGTTCAGCTGTATAGAGAGAGTGTTTGACGACTATAGCTTTTCAGGCTCCCGTTTCACTTTTTGTTATATATACTCTTAGTACATTGAGTTTTTAAAATTTTTGAGGCTCCCGTAGCGACGCACGGCCCCTTCACCCCCCATCCGTGGTGAAGCCCGACTCCCTGCCTCCCCGATCCCACGCCTACTCCCCCGACCTAATTTTTTACTATTTAACCATTTTTTGAATAAAATTTACATTTGGCCCCCTAGGAGACTTAAACTCATCTTTGGACCCTGGGGGTCGGCGCCATGAGTTCTGACGCCGAGGTAACACGTCTCGGCGCCACAGATCTTGACGCCGAGGTAACTGGCCGTGCACAGAAGAAAATCCTACGTGGCCGGTACCTCGACACCATAATTGGCGCCGACATCGGCGCCACGGACTCTGGTGCCGACCTCGGATAATTAAAAAACCTAGCGTGTAGCAGTGCCCTTGTGTCAGGATGGAGCAACCGCACCACGTGCCTGTCAGGGAGCTCAGTGACCAGGTACGCAGCATGCTTCGATTCGGACGGCATCACTTTCCAGTGCGCGCGCAGAGGCGTGGGCGACGGACTGGGCAGCGATGGGACGAGGCGGGACGGCGAGCGGGGCTCCGGCACTTGAAAGGAATAAAAAACAGCAGGCCATCGTTTCATGCTTCACGCACTGTCAATCATGCTCGTGTCGTGCCTGTTTGATAGTACTAGTAGGAGCTATCAGCTCAGCTGCTGCAGTCAGCGGGGCACAATGCCAGCATAGCGGCAGGTGGCACCAGCAGTTGTGCTTTTAAGCTGCAGTTCAGCGCGCAGGCACGCCTTCTCCCGCGGCTGAGAAGACATAAATGATAAGAGAACTACTCCAATACTTTTCTTTTATAAAATTATACACTTGATGAGAAGGCACGCCTTTTATAAAATGGAGAACAGTACATAATTGGTTTGCTGTATCTTTCATACCTGTAATGAGAATAACACACACAACTTATCAAAGAACGACGACAATAATTAAGAAATAATAACAAACTCAGGCCCTGTTTGGTTTGTACAGACGCTCCTAAAATTGTTGTCACATTGGATGTTTAGACATATGCATAGAGTATTAAATATAGACTAATTACGAAACTAATTACACAACTTGCGACTAATTTGCGAGACGAATCTTTTAAGCCTAATTAGTCCATGATTTGACAACGTGGTGCTACAGTAAACATGTGCTAATGACAGATTAATTAGTTATCAAAAAAATCATCTCGCAAATTAGCCTCCATCTATGTAATTGATTTTATAATTAATCTATATTTAATGCTCTTTATTAGTATCTAAACATTCGATGTGACATGAATTTTACGAGCCACTAAAGAACCAAACACCCCATAAATTCGATGCTCTTTATTAGTAGCTGAGCTGATAGCCTGATACGTACTCCTACTAGTACTCCTATCAAACAGGCACGACACGAGCACGATTAACAGTGCGTGAAGCATGAAACGATGGCCTGCTGTTTTTTATTCCTTTCAAGTGCCTGAGCCCCGCTCGCCGTCCCGCCTCGTCCCATCGCTGCCCAGTCCGTCGCCCACGCCTCTGCGCGCGCACTGCAAAGCGATGCCGTCCGAATCGAAGCATGCTGCGTACCTGGTCACTGAGCTCCCTGACAGGCACGTGGTGCGGTTGCTCCATCCTGACGCAAGGGCACTGCTACACGCTAGTTTTTTTAATTATCCGAGGTCGGCGCCAGAGTCCGTGGCGTCGAGGTCGGCGCCATGTATTATGACGCCGAGGTACCTTCTGTGCACGGCCAGTTACCTCGGCGCCAAGATCTGTGGCGCCGAGACGTGTTAGCTCGGCGCCAGAATTCATGGCGCCGACCCCCAGGGTCCAAAGATAAGTTTAAGTCTCTCAGGAGCCAAATGTAAATTTTATTAAAAAAAAGGTTAAATAGTAAAAAATTAGGCTCCCCCGACTCCCCAAGCGCGCAGACTGCTCCCACGGTCCTACCACTCCCTGCTCTGCCCCGTCGGTCGTCACCCTTGCCCCGCGCCTCTTGCCGTTCGCTGCCGCCGGCTCGACCTCGCGCCCCTCCTTTCCCGCCTCCGCCCACCGCCGCTGCCCTGGGCCGCGTGCCCTTCGCCCGGTCCGCATCGGCTGCGCCCGGCCGAGCCGCCACCGCCCACGCCTGCGGCTGGTTGCCGATTGGGCTGCTCGCGTGCGGCAGGGTCCAGTGCGGGCGGCGCGCGCGGAGCAGGGCCTGCGAGCGGCGCGCACGGAGCTTATTCGCGGGGACGCACCAGGAATGGGCCCGAGCAGTCGCGCGAGGCCGCGCCGGAGCAGTCGCGCGGTGCCGTGTCAGCAGGCGCTTCGGGGCAGCGGCGGCACCTCCTGCGCAGACGCAGACGAAGCCGCAGGCCTCGGGTCCATCGTCGTCGTCCAGCCATGACCCGGTGATCCTGCAGTTCGGCAAGGCCAGGAGGCCTGCGCTCATCCCGCTGCAGATGAAGGTGGTCGACCTGGCCGATTGATGCTTAATAATGCATTGATTTAGTACCGTGCAGCCTGAGTGCCTGTCTGGAGTATTACTGCCACTTTTTCCATCCTTGATAACAGGGAGAATGCTGGACAAAAGCAATGGTGACATAGCTGCCGACGGGTACAAGTAGAAGGTGAAAATTTTTAGCTCTGAGGGCAATTTTTCTGCTGGTATCGAGCTGCTTGTTTCTTACTGTGCCTGTCAACTAATAACCTTTTGTCTGATCTCTAAATATTTTTATTGAAAAACTCTGGAATCTAAATATGAAAATTGCTGTACTTAGTCTTAACATATAATTTGTTGTGTTGAAGTACTGTTACTACTAAGATCAGCATGCTGAATGTTTCAGCATACGGAGAGGAGTTTTCTTGATTTGTTTCTTGCTTTGACCTAAACCATCTTATGTTTCAGGATGATGCTAACCTCATAACTGACAATAACCTGGAGGCATATAGATTCTCTGTCTCCTGATCCAGGCTTATACCAAGTATAACCATTTCTTGTGCAGAAACTTTATCGCGTATGAAGCAACAAATTTCAAGGATCTTCGGTTAACCTTTCGTAAGTTAAATACACAGATGGCTAGACACGGTATGCCTATTGCAAATAAATTTTGAATGGTAATTGTATGAACATAAGCAGCAAGGAATATCAATAACTATTGGGTTCTTCAGGTGTCGAAGTCCCTCTGTTTGTAATTATATGACATTTAGGATAAGCTAATGTATGTCATCTATGTGCCCACGTCTCCTAAAAATGCAGGTGCCTGCCTTTGAGGCACCAGAATGAGTGAGCTCTTGCTTCCTTTCCTACCAGCCATCCCTTTACTACCACCAAGTATAGTTTGCATCTGAAAGAACCCAACCCCTCCCTCACCCACTCATGTTGGTATTGCATTAGTACTAAAAAGGTAAAAATGCGTTGATCGTTGATTTAATCATGGCTACAACTGATATAGGAGATATGTCTTGGTCCAATTACATTGATTCAATCTCCTTTTTTTTCCAACAGGAATTCTTGTGCCACTTTAAAACCTGAACTCGGCAGCCACAAACATGAGTGATAACCTGAACTTCGAGCAGATGAAGGGTGTTGTACTTGAGCATTTTCCTGTAACTTATTTGTGTAGTATTTTAACCTTTGGTGTGAAACAATGGTATTCTAGCATATAATTGATTCTTTTGATTTGTTGGAGGTTCTATATTTAAGTAGTCTTTCAAATTTGCTTCATGCTCGGTTTAACATTTTCTGTTTGTTCTATGAATGATCACTGAGATGTATGGGTGAATTTGAGCATTGATGATATAATAGCAAGAACAATGAACCGCTTTTCTTGTTCCTATACGTACCTGTCTGCTCTAGCTGCAGGCAGATGCCTGTACCGGCCTGCTGCCCAAGGAAAGATGCAGCACGACGATAAAACCCACCCAACATTCAGAAATACTTTAGTTGGGTGGTGTTTAAATCCTAGGTATAAAGTTTAGGGGTGTCACATCAGGTGCTATATGGAAGTATTCGGATAGTAATAATAAAACAAATTATAGAAGTCATCGGTAATCCACGAGACGAATTTATTAAGCCTAATTAATCCATCATTAGCACATGTTTACGGTAGCTTTATTGTAGCAAAACATTGCCAAATCATGGACTAATTAGGCTTAAAAAAATTATCTCGCAAATTAGTCGGAATCTGTAAATTAGTTATTTTTTAGCCTATATTTAATACTTCATGCATGTGTCAAACATCCTATGTGATAGAAACTAAAATTTAGGGAGAGAAACTAAACAAGGCCAGCAGAAATTAATGTTCACAAATCTCCATATATTTTTCTCCAAATTCTTTCTATTAAACACAAACAGAAAATAAAGTTCAAATATCTTTGTTCTTATAAAGGGCTTGCTTGGAATGCAGGAATTTTACAAAGTAATTGCAGGAAACAATTCAATTTCATAGAAAAAACACATGAACTGGAAATTTTTCCAGCGTGCAAATAGGTCCTTAATAATAAATAATGAAAGAGAAATCATTTTACAAAGAACTGTAACTACACAAACCAAACTTTTTTTTTTTTTTTTTTTGCGAGTAAACTACACAAACCAACTTGTGGACCGTCCGGCTGGCTATATAAACCGCCGCTGCGCCTAGCATCGCCTCCTCGTGATCGCTACTCACAAAGGTTCCCGAAAAGCATCGCGAGATCGCAACTCACAAAGGTTCCCGAAAGGCCGTCGCCATGGCTGGCAGCCCGCCCAAGCCACCGCCTCCGACCTTCGCCGTCGGCTCCTCCTCGTCCAAGCAGCCGCCTGCGACCTTCGCCGTCGGCTCCGCCTCGCCCAAGCCGCCGCCTGCGACCTTCACCGGCCACCCCACTTACAAGGAGCTCATCGACTCCTACCTGCGCCGCCGGGTCGTCTCCGGCACCAAGGTAGGCGACTTCATTCACGAGGCCGACCTGTATGCCGCGGACCCGGAACTGCTCACCAGCCAGTACTCGCCGGCGACTGCGGACGATGGGGAGAGGGCGTGGTACTTCTTCACGATGCTGCGCCCCAAGGCCCCCTCCAAGAAGCACAAGGGCAAAGTGGACAAGCGCAAGAAGCGCACAGTGGACACCGGGAGGGAGGGAGGCTGGGCCTACCCCTGGCCCGTGACCGCCGTGTTCTCCGACCGCGGCGGCCGCAGGCAGCGGAAGCGGATAGGGCAGTATCAGCACTTCGCCTTCATGGAGAAGGTGGACGGCAATCATGTGCGTTCGGCATGGCGCATGGTGGAGCTCAGCCTCGACTCCGATGAAGGCGGCCAAGAAGCGGGCTCCTCGGACCTTCTTGTCATGTGCAAGGTGTACCGCAAGCGGAATGCCAACGTGGACGACGAGAGTTCTATGGCGGCGGCGGAAGCGGACGGCGAGGCCCCCGCTGCGTCTGCAGTACGTGGTGACGCCTGGACGGAAGGGAGCGGACGAGGAGATTGGTGCGGAGACGGCGGCGGGGCCTGGGCGTAAGAGGAAGGCGGGCGACAAGGACTCGGAGACGGTGGCATCGTCGCCTGGACACCAGAAGAAGGCCGACGGCGAGAGCGCTGATGCGGCGACGACCCGGGAAATCTTCGGTGGCAGCAGTGCCCCCTCTTGATGCTCCGGAGGAAGCAGAACAGGAGTCCAGAGATCCCAGGGACCCCCCGTTCTACGATTTCTTCTCAGATTCGCAGAACCCAAAGAAACAGTGACTGGTGGTCCATGACAAACCCCAAACGAGCATAAATCGCATGTCAAATGGTGTGAGGCTGCGTCTGATTTGCTAACTCTAGCTGGGCATTGATCATGTTTTTTATCCTTCTTCATTTAGTTTCTTAGGTAGCATGATGAAACTTGTAGGTATTTTAGTTTCTTCATTTATGTTCTGATACCCATGATGTATCACATGAATCACTACCGGAAACAGAGACTTTGCCGAGTGCAAAATTCTTTGCCGAGTGTTAAAAATCGGGCACTCGGCAAAGACCTTCTTTGCCGAGTGCCGCACTAGGCAAAGAATTGCACTCGGCAAAGAGTTCTTTGCCGAGTGCCAGGCGCTCGGCAAAAAAGTGCACTCGGCAAAAGACTTCTTTGCCGAGTGCCAGACTCTCGGCAAAAACTCGGCACTCGGCATAGGCTGCCCCGCGTAACGGTGTTCCGCCACGTCCTTCTTTGCCGGCGCTGCCATTGTTAGACACTTTCGGCAAAGATTTGTTTTTTTGTTTTAATTTCTTTGCCGAGTGCCCCGGATCCGCACTCGGCAAAGATTTAAATTTTTTTAATTCTTTGCCGAAGCGTCTCGGATCCGGCGCCGGCAAAGAAATTTTTTTTTTTTAAAAATACTTTGCCGAGTGCCCCGACGACGACACTTTCGGCAAAAATTTAAATTTTTTATTATTTCTTTGCCGAGTGCTCCCGTGGGTGCACTCGGCAAAGTGGAAATTTAAAAAAATTAAAACATTCTTTCTTTGAGTGCTCGATGGGCGGCACTCGGCAAAACACTACTTTTCCGAGTGCCATGCCCCGCACTTTCAAAAAAGTTTTTTGTTTTTTTGTTTTTGGCCTCAATTTTTTGTGCAGCCTTTTTAAAGCACCAGGAACTCCTAGTTACAAGTTGGGGATTTTTTTTTGGCTTTTTGTTATACTTAGTTACTTTATTTCGTTTACTTCAATTTTTCCGGAAATTAGAAATTTGAACTGCACGTGGTACGAATAATGGAGTTTAATGATTCGAAAATTGATAGTCATGTTAGTGAGTGTTATGAGAGGCCGTATCGAGAGCGGACCCGAAATTTCGGACATCTTGTTCACAAAACATGTCCATGAAATTGTGTGAAGTGTTTATAAATTCTATAAAAAATAAGCGAAGTCCGAAAATCATGAAACTTGTTGAGATGTCGTTGATATCATATGTGGAGGCTATGAAAAAAAATTAGAAGATTTACGTGCGTTTGTCACGTGCGATCCTTACAAACCGTGACATCTCCACATGTGAGATCGGATATCACGTGTAGAGATGTCCCGTTTGTAAACATCGTCACGCGTGACAACGCTGCACGTAAATCTTCTGAAATTTTTATCATAGGCTCCACATATGATATCACGACATCTCAACAAGTTTCATGATTTTCGGACTTCTTTTGCTTTTTATAGAATTTAAAAACACTTCGACGCAAAATCGCGCGGTCATGTTTTGTGAACAAGATGTCCAAAATTTCGGTCTGCTCTCGAATAACGGCCTCACACTACACCTAGTAACATGACTATCATTTTTTTGAATCATTAAATTCCATTATTCGTACTATGCAATGCAGCTTCAAATTTATATTTTTGAAAAAATTCAAGTAAACGAAATAAAGTAATTAAATATATAAAAAGATATAAAAATCCCCAAATTCTAACTAGGAGTTCGGGTGCTTTAAAAGAGATGCACAAAAAATTGGAGGCCAAAACAAAAAATAAAAAAACTTGCCGAAAGTGCCGGGGCATGGCACTTCGGTGAAAGTCTTTGCCGAGAGTGCCAACAAGTGAGGCACTTTCGGCAAAGAAGGTTTTGATTTTTTTTAAAAAATCCTCTCTTTGCCGAGTGCCTCCACGGAGCACACTCGGCAAAGAATTTTTTGAAAAATTAAATCTTTGCCGAGTGCGTGTGCGGGGCACTTTCGGCAAAGTCTTTTAAAAAAATCTTTGCCAAGTGCGGATCTTGGACACTCGACAAAGAATTAAAAAATTTAAAAACTTTGCCGAGTGGCGATCGGAGGCACTTTCGGCAAAGGGGTGATTTAACTCGCCGCCCAACTGGCCCGCACATGCACTCCTTCTTCTCTGCGTCGCAGGCCGAGGCTCGGCACACGGCGGCCGGCGCGGCTCGACGCTGCAGCCCGCTAGGCCATGGCCATGCCACTGCTCGCGTTCGCCGCCAGCCTCGAAGCGACATGGCGCGCGCTCCTGCGGCGTCGACCTGCACCAGTGACCGATAGAGACCTCCACCGCGTCGACCTCGCCGGCGGCCTGTGGGCGTGCCCTCACTGCGGCGTCGACCTGCGCCGGCGGCCCCCTGTGGCGCGCCCTCCCTCCGGTACCCTCGGCAGCCCTCTTCCCATGGCGAGATCTGGGCGAGGGCTGGTCCACGACGAATCCATGGAGGGGGCGCCAGTCCGGAGCTCCCGTCGTGGCGTTGATGGCCACCTCCAAGCATGGTAGGGGCGCTGTCCCTATGGACAGCCCGGCGGCCTTCGCCATGGCGGATGTAGGACTGGGCAGGCCTGCGTCCCGAGAGGAGGCACGGATTTGGTGATTCTCTCTTTTCTTTCTAGTGATAATTGATTCTAAATCTCTGGTTTCCTTTCGACATATAGATCTCGCAAATATCGTAGGAAAGTTCATAATATAAAATCTAAATAAATATTATTAGCTCCCACAAGTTATGGTAAATTACTGAAGGCATTCGATCTCTAATTATCGTAAATAGTTTCTCGTAATTACTGAAGACATTCTCTAATTATCATAACCAACTGTACACGTTCTGGTAACTATATTATGGTACTCGTTCAACCTGGAGGCCACTCCCATCGGATTAGCACAGATTATTCCTTTAGAATATATTATATATGTGAGTACTATTGCTTCACTGTATACGTATTTCGATTTTCCTTCTAGCATTGTCCCATGAATGCAGACAACAATGACAATTAGTTCATGGTGGTCTTGACATATGATTTGCTTAATCCATATAATGTGCGACGACTCGAGTGCATATTCGGGCAGACGAGCAGCTTCTGCTGGTCCAATTCGTGTTATAGATGATCCGTACCTTTTTTTATCTTCCAAGTGATTTACTGATTCTTATTTTGAGTAGATCTTGATGAAAATTCCTCGGTGCCTGTGTGCGAGTCTCTGCACACCTGGGCTGCATGCATCTATGACCTATACCAATTTGCTAGCTGATCTTGCGATTTCTATTGCTGCTATTCGTCAATCTTGATTAAAAATTTGTTTCTAGTTTTACCCTCAAGCACCCAGCAGATTACTACCCTAACTATGTCAATTCATCAGCAATGCCTGCCGGTTAGGGCGTGATTTTCTTTTGCCGTGACTCGGCCAACAAGATGCAGATTGCTGACAAGCCTTGAACTGGTCAATTCATAATTTTATTCCTCGTAAATCTCATACCTGTTCCTGTTATAGCATCATATTATTTATGATTGTTCTTATTTTTAGGATTTCAGGCAATGAGACTTCTCGACAGCAGCTGGTTACTTTACAGAGCATCAAACAGACATGACCTATTGATCTCAGTCTGATCACTAGTCAGGCACTATGATGCAGGTGTTGGGGTAGTGCCAGACAGAGAATGTGCAAGAGAAGCAACTAAACGTAGATCGTGCAATCACTACTGGAAACAGGTTATTTGCTAATATACAAGTTTTGTTGGCTCTGCAGAAACTGTACAGTATAGATAAGATCGATTATTTGGGCTCTTACATTCTGAATATCGTGATACAATGTATTAGAGAATTGTAGTTAATTTGCTTATGCTTCCAAAGAGTTATATACTCATATTTCATATTTTAGATTGAGTCAATTAGGAGGAGTTATAGACTTCTCAAAATGATTGTCTACACTTTGTCCGACTTCAAAAACAATAATTTTGTACCTCAAGTTAGGCCCAGTGGATGGATGACATAAACATTGCCATGACTAGAAATTCTGAGCTGGTTGTCTATCATATGAAGTCTGTTTTAATATGATCTGTATGTGTTTATTTATTGCACGTCTGGTTGTCTATCCATCCAGTTAACAACAATTGGATGATTGGATCTGCACCAATTGTTTACATTTATCAAGTGTATTGTGGACATACAATTTGTTTGGTTAGTTGCCAAAGAGGAGATACATTCCAGTAGTCAATTTGTTTGTTTGTTTTGTTAATTTACCCAGCACCAGCTAAATAATCAATATTTCCCAGTAATCTTTGGGATTCAATGCTTAAAGTAGTTGATATAAATGTTTAGGAATAATGATACCGAAATTTATCTTTTAAAGAATGTTGCCAGGATTGTTATAGCTGGATTCATTTACGATGACAAAAAAAATTATGGGCGTTCACAATCTGATTGGTAGGGTGCCGCTGAGCGTAAAAAGTTTCTAGTATGTTTAGAGCAGCATGTTAGGTTTGTGGTTTTAAAAATGTAGATCATAAGCTTACTCCCAACAGTACGATTTATATGACATAAAAATGCATATAATTTTTTAAAAATTTAAATTTTTTTTTAAAAATTCAAACTTTGCCGAGTGCTTGCAAGAGGGCACTCGGCAAAGAAATTTAAAAAAAAAAAAAAAAATATTTGCCGAGTGCACGAAGGGTTGGCACTTTCGCAAAAAAATTTTGTAAAAATAAAATAAAAAATCTTTGCCGAAGTGTCCGAAGGGTTGGCACTCGCAAAGAAAATTTTTAAAAAATAAAAAATATTTGCCGAGTGCACGAA